TCTTCTAATAAACCAGAGTTTAATTAAATTAGCACAAAAGATAAGAATTAAGCATTATACTTTTTAAAGAACTATGTGAGATCAAATTGACAACAACTTGGAGCAATGAATTTGTTAGTGAGAGAGAATAACTCAGAAAAGAGGAATGAAAATGGTTGATAATTTGAAAATTGTTAGCCTGACCTAAACTATAGTATTTTCAGTTGCTTCCTATGCATCTGAAAATTTGACAATAAGATCAAAGAAGAACTGATGCCTTTGAACTTTAATGTTAGCAAAGAGTGTTGAATGACTGCCAAAAAAAACCAAATAATCTGTCTTCAAGGAAGTGCAACTACCATCATCCTTCAGAATCAAGATGGTGAAACTTTGCCTTATAGACATTGGGCATAAAGTGAGAAGCCAGGCAATAGGGAAGTTGCCCCATTAACCTGGAGGTAGCAACCATCTGGCAGTTCAAATCCACCAGGGACTCAGACTGAGAAAGAAGGACAACCATCTTCCATGCAATTTATAGCCTTGGAAAACTGGCTGAAAGTTCAGATATGAATGAGTCAGTTCTGACTGATAGCAATGAGATATAGCTAAAGTCTTTGGAAAAATACGTCATACTGGGAAAAGCAGAGAGTTCACTGAAAGGAGGAATTCTAAAAGAGATGAAATGACACTGACAGCAAAGATGGCCTGTATCATGTTTATAGTAATGTAGATGAAAATTTATTTAAGATGCAACTGATTAGACTCTCCTTGAAAATGCTAACTCCAAGGAAATTCTATAGAGTTGAAACTACAAATTCCAACATACAATCTATTACCATTACAGTAGTAATTTTTATTTTTTCATGTATTAGCAACTACTTTTCAGCATATTTTTGGCTGAAAAATTATGAACACAACAGAAAAAAAAACTTTGTCCTTCAAATTCTGCTTTGAATTTATCATAACATTTTACAAAGTCCTTATTAATCAATTGAAATAACATACAGAGAGGCTGTACATTTTATATGTGCACCCATGTCATATATTTTACTTTCTGAAAATTTTATTTCTGCACATATCACCTCAGTGAGGCCTGACTTATTTGACCACCACTATCCACCCCCTTTGTAAAAAAAATTTTAGTGTCTTTATGTTTGTTTTTTCTTGTATGTTTGTTTACGCTTACTGTCCCTATGTCGATTCTCATGTGAGCAGGGTTCTTTTGCTAGTTTTTTCAGTGCTGTATCCCCCATGCATTCTCATTGATGGATAAATGAATGGATGAACATTATGTGATCTAAGAGGGAACCCCTTAGCCAGACAGAAAGACAAGGCAAGCATTGCTCTGGAGCAGAGTGGCCTAAGGTTTTCTAATTTGATTTTACAGCACACTTTTTTATTCCTGTAAACTGCTATGTAGACACAATCTGATCCACAGTCTGCATTGGTCCGTCTAGTTTGTTCTGCTTCTCCTTGGTTTCCTATTATCTCAAACAGAGGCAGTGTGTCTTGACAGAACAGTTAGGCAAGGACGGGTAAAATATATGGTAATGTGTACCGGTCTCAAGCTCTTGATACGCGTCTTCATTTTCCCTAGCATAGGGTTCAGCGCCTGCGCAGTTGTCACGAATCCGTCTAGTGTTGTAGCGAGATTAACGTCTCAGTTGGATTCAATTTCGGGAGCAAGAGAGCAAGTGTTGACCTTTGCTTGCTTGTTTTCTCGTTTCCACAGCTTCGCAGGCTAACTCCAGGCATACAATTTTAATCTTTATGTGACACTCATCTAAACTTAGTATAAGAAAAGTTGCCTTGTTCAGCAGCACAGCAAATAGATAGTATGGAGTACAAGACGGATACCAGGTGTCAGGATGGCCGAGTGGTCTAAGGCGCCAGACTCAAGGTGTACACCTTGCCTGCGGGCTTTCTGGTCTCCCCTGGAGGCGTGGGTTCGAATCCCACTTCTGACACATGTTTTTCAACCCTCCCGCCAGACTTCATTTTTTCTTAAAAATACAACAACCAACTTCTGAAATCCTTAATCCTTCTGAGATGCATATTTTATTTTCTTCTCTGGGAAGGCAACCAACTTAAGCATTTCTATCGTAGCAGTCCTCCTTTGTCTCTTTCTATAACTTTTTGCCGCTGATTCTTACCTCGGAGGCGAAGAGAACGCTTTGCGTTAGAACGAAGGAACTAGTAGCCAGGCAAATTTCATCCAATCACATTTATGGATGTAATATACGTCATACAGTAGAGACTTAGTCTAGCTCTAGCCTGACCTCTTAGGTATCTCTTCCCTGGTGGTCTAGTGGTTAGGATTCGGCGCTCTCACCGCCGCGGCCCGGGTTCGATTCCCGGTCAGGGAAGCCATATTTTAACTGTTTGAAAACTTTTTTTTAAAAATCCCTCACCCCTCCTAGATTTTAGCAAAGGAGAGAAGAAATCTTTATAAGACGTGTGGCCGGGACGCCTCCCTCTTTCCTACAATTTCTTAATTAAAAAAGATTTGTGAGGACAGATACTAAAAAGTGATCTATCAAAATCGACCCCAAGTGCTGCCACAAGTGCTCAGTCTTTGAACTTCTCACAAACTCAGTCTCCAACTTGTCTCCAAACTCATCAAGCCAGAAAAGAATTTCAATTGTTTAATTCATGTAAATTCAGAAAAGAATTTCAATTGTTTAATTCGTGTGAATTCCATCAGTGACTCACGAAGACTGCCACCAGTATAACTCCTATTGTTACCCCACCCCCTATGGATCTCCTCAGTAATCACACCATATAGAATCCTTAGTAATTTTAAAAAGAAATTTTAGTTATAGAATAATATAATATATGATATACATCGTTTTAAATGGTTTAAATGTAATATTTCTTAGATTATATGAATACTAACAAAGTATGGATTCTGTACTTGAAATTTGGTCCTGCCCCTGGTGGATTTGGAGACAAGTTTAGGAACGGAGACATACGTATGTTCAAATTGGTATTACAAGTGGTAGCTGTATCAGTAATTAAAACGAGGGCCTCTAGGGTATGACCAATTCCTGCCATGGGCTTTCCTGACACTTGCTGTACTGCTGAGAGGAGAACAATGAACAAGGATGATCGAAGAATTGATGCCTTTGAACTTTAGTTTTGGAGAAGAGCCCTGAATGTCCCATGATCTGCCTAGGCCCACAAGCAGTGGCATCACCAAGGCAGTGGGCAGTGTGAGGGTGAGGTGTCAGTGGCCTGGTGGGAATGGATGCAGCAGTGAGCGAGACAGCTGGAGTGTGAGTAATTGGGGAAGCAATTCACCATGTGTCCTGAGAAGGCCTGTACATTCCTTCTGGATGTAGTAAAAATACCAGGGCCTATCTGCTCTTTGGACAGCTCCCCAGGGTTGTATTTTATTGCTCAGTCTTCAAGGACTAGATCATGCCTTCTCGCACAAATTGAAAACAAGCTTGGTAAATGCTTTGAACTCGGTGTTTATTGGCTGCAACAGAAGTTCACTAGAAGGTGTGGGGCCTTGGGTGTACCCCACCTGAAACTTGTTGGACCAGTTCTTTGTCTTAAATAATTAGAAATTAGCTTTAGAGACACTCAGCAATAGTTAGACTGAATGGATTAACCAGCCCAAGGGTCCTTGTATTGTCCATCAGCATATATTAAACTGTTGTAGATTAATTTAATAGTTTGAGAATAGGACCAAAACAAGTATCTTGACAGAGGATGGTTTCTGGATAGGTTACTATTCTGTCCCAGCCTTCAGGCACCAAAGAGAATGGCTTTATCTCAGCTGATTCAGAAGACTTCCTTAAAGTGCCTTGTGATAAAATGTTCTCTTCCTTATAGCCTCCTGTGGCCCTCTGAGCAATTGTTCACTCATAAAATATCCCTTAGGGACTAAGTACTGATCATAGCCAAATGATAGACTTTTCTAGAACTTTTCCATCTGTCACAGCCATTTTTGTATCTGTCTGCTTGAAAAGCCTCTTCTGTATCAGTGATCAACTCCATCTGTCTGCTCTTTATCCTATAGGGCTACAGGGTGTGCCAGGCTCCAGGAGAACAGGGCAGAGTTAAATTCAGGTCATACAGGCTTGGCTCTGCACTTCTAAAAATTTTAAATCACTCAAAAATTCAGTCTAATGACCGATACATGTCTCCAAAGTTAGTTACTGACAATTTCAGGAATACACAAAGAATAAAGCCGAGTCACTGGACAAATGGGAAACAAGAGAATATGGAATTAAAGGGCTTAGATCCTGACCATTCTCTACCAGTATTTGTGGTTTCAGGCACCTTTCTCGTCTATAAAATGGAATCCATAACATTAGAATCAAGGTTGTAGTTATGGCACAAGGTTGCATCTAATAGGTTGCTGGTTATACAATTGTCTCCATTCAAGTGCTTAAGTTTACAACTTATATTAAAATTTATAGTCACGGATGTTGAAAGAGTTGAGGAGGTAAGAGAGACTATGACTGGACCCATAATAAAGGAATAAGAAAAGAAAGAAGGACCTTAGATGATGACCTTGGAAGGTAGATTTCAACACTCAACTTTAATTATTTGAGTGCCTCACAGACTGTAAATAAAGTACATAGTGACAGCTGTCAAATCAATGAATACTTTATTGTTTTAATCCTTGTATCACATGTTGATAGATTTGAGCATTGCTTATAAAGCTAAAGTCAAGGGTTAATATCTTTTTATTCCTAACATTAGAATCACTTCATTCCTGGACCTTTCATGACACCTTTCTGATGGGCATTTTTAGTCAAAGGTGGAGATGAAGTAAGAGACTGGCTTTTTTTTTTAATGTTCCTGGTGGGTCAAGGTGTTTGAAATCACTCTAATTCTTCCTGAATGCTCTGAATTTGGCTACAGCTCACTTTTGGAGGGAGGTTCTTTTGTGTCTTTAGGATTCTTTGTGAAAGTTAAGCTCACAGCCTGGTGAATGCTCTGTGCAGCTTGTAGCCCTGATTTAATGGCAGTGTCAATCCAGCCATGGGGTAGGGTGGTATGCTCACCAGCAAAGTACACTCGCCCTTCTTGCCTGCAGAGTTCCTTGGCATAGTCCACATACTGGTAGGGAGTGAAGAAGACAAAGCCCCCCATGGAATAAGGGTCTTGACTCCAGTGCTTGACTGTGGAGTAGGGGCAAAGGGCCCGGAGCTCTTCCTTGGGGCGGTCATGGACTGCAGCCAGGTCATCCAAGACAACTTCCACTATCCGGGCATGACTCATGGCAGTGAAGAATGAAGAGTCATCATCCAGGGTGTAGGAGGCCAAGATGACTCCTGTGCCATTGGGGAAGCTGTGGTTAGGGTAATATATGAAGCGAGAAGGCCGGTCAGTGATGGATTTGCAGCCAGAGATGCTATCCTTCTCCCAGAAACTCTGTGTGCAGGCCAGGATCACTTTAGTGGCACTATTATAGTGGACAGAACGTAGTGCATCCTGTTTGCCAGGAGAGAGAGGTGGCCGGAAACGGAGGAGTCGGGCAGCCTTGGCTGTGCTGGCCACAATCACATAATCTGCAGTCAGACGTCCTCTGGGCCGTAGAGGGTCAGGTGTCTGGTAGGTGATGTGGACAAGGTCACCAGATGTCTCCACCTCCTCAGCTGGTGAGTGGAGCTGTACTGTCCCAGGTAAGAGGGCCTCATGCAGGGCCTTGGGGAGCTGATCAAAGCCTCCAACAATTTCATCAAATCTGAGAATAAGCGGAGAAATAAAGAGGAGAGAAATAGTTGATGAGTCGATGGATAAGGGCATGTAGGAGGTAGGTTGTTTGAAATGGAAAGAGGTCTGGTTCTCTTATAAGTGTGCTCTGTCCCTGTGAGCTAGAGCCAAAACAGTTGGCAGGAAAGCATGTCATGCAAAGTGGCCATTAGCTACTAAGAATAACAGGCAGTCTTTTTAGGCTGGCAAATCAGAAAGAAAAAAAAAGTTTTCCGTCCAGGAGTGACTGTGTGCTGCAAACAGATATACTCTGTTGATAGCTATAACACTGCAGGCTTAAATCCACCCATGGGCACCCTGGAAGAAAGGCCTGGCAATCTACTTACAAAATTCAGCTACTGTGAAACCTATGAGGCACACTTGTACTCTGACACAGATCGGTTCATTCTGATTTGGAATCAGCTCCTTCACTTTTTAGCATGTTACTAGGAGTGTTCACTTCCTTACAAGGAATTCCTGGGTAGCAGAGGTGATTCACCACCTGATTACTAGCATAAACGTTGTCAGTTTGAATCCACCAGTAAGTGCTCAAAAGAGAGGTCTTTCAAATGATTTGCTTTCTAAAAAAAAAAAAAAAATGATTTGCTTTCTAGAGTTCACAATTGTGAGAAACTGTGGAGCCCAGCTCCACTCTGTGGGCCATGAGTAGAAAATGACTCAACAGTAACAGGACAGCCTCTTGCCTGAAGGTGCAAGCAAGATTGCAGATTACAGAGTGAGTTTTGGGTTGTGGGCTGACTCTCAGTCAGCTCCATTCTTGCTCCTGTGGGTGGTCACCTCCGTGCAGTGTCCTAGGATACCGAGCACTCTCAGCCCCATTGACATAATGCCCTCAGAGAGAACCTAGCACTAGGGCTCAGCCTGAGTTCTAGTATTATCTCTACTTGACTCTCTTGAGATAGTCCCATCAAGACAGGCCTTGGATTGCAGCGTTTATACTGACTTATCCTGAGAAAGGAATCCCTGGGTACTGCACACAGTTAAAGGCTCATGATGAGAGCGTGGTGACTCTAGTCCATTTAGAAGTGACTGAAGAAAGACCACCAGGCAATCTACTTCTGAAAAAACAAATCCACCATTGAAAAGGCCCTGTAATGGTTTTACTCTATTAAACACAGTGCTGTTATGAGTTGAAGTCAACTCTACAGCAACTGGTTTTACCCTGAATAAAAAATTCAGTCCAGAAGTTAAGGACAATATTAGAGAGGAAAGGAGACAAAGCAAATAACTACATGAATTAGCTCCTCAGCCTTTCAGGGCAGGCAACCTCAGTTTGTCTTTCTCTAGTTGCCTGCAGCTTGTGAATACCAAGGGAGACTATGTCTCATTACAGGCCCAGAATGTGTGGCCAGTAGCCAGTGGTTTGGTGGCTAGAAGTCCAGAGTGAGGGCCTCAAGCACATCTTCCTGGGTAAAAGACACAAAGTGTCCCTGCCAAGACAGCTGGAGGGAAGCTGCAGCCATAGTTTATGGAACAAGAAAATAGAACCAAGATCTGCAGTCTTCTGATCAGACAGTCAAAGGCTCCCAGACAGGCAGTAGCAGCATCCTTCGGAAAATGTTGGAAAAGTGAATTTTCAGGCCCCACCCAAGATTTCTTTTTTTTTTTTCTTAAAGATTTCTAGGCTGTGTGGATCACAACAAATTGTGGGTAACTTTGAGAAGAATAGGAATCCCAGAGCACATGATTGTGCTCATGTGAAACCTGTAATTTGACCAGGGAACAGTCCTCAGAAGAGAGCAAGGAAACATTGCATGGTTCAAAATTAGAAAAGGAGTGTGTCCTTTCTCTGTACCTTTTAATCTATATGTAGAACAGATTATTTGGGAGGCTGGACTTTATGAGGAGGAATGTGGCATCAGGATTAGATGAAGACTCAACAACCACCTGCATTAGGAAGATGACACAACCTTGCTTGCTGAAACTGAGGAGGACCTGAAGCTTTTGCAGCAGAAGGTTGTCTTCAATATAGATTGAAGTTCAATATAAAAAAACAAAGATTCTCACCACTGGGCCAATTGGCAACATCATGATAGTTGTAGAAGGGATTGAGATTGTTAACAATTTCAGGTTAGTTGGTTCCACAATTGACACTCCTGGATCTGCTATCAAGGACCTCCCCAAAGCACTGAAGAATAATGATGTCAGTCTGGAGACTAAGGTGTGCCTGATCTAGGCCATAGTCTTTGTAATTGCTTGCTATACATCAGAAAGCTGGACAATGACTAGGGATGATAGAAAGAGAATTGATGCCTTTGAGCTGTGGTGCTGGAGTATTGAATATACCATAGACCTCCAGGAGAACAAACAGGTTCATCCTAGAGAGGAGGAAGCCAGGCTGCTCCTTGGAAGCAAGGATTCTGAGACTTCATCTACATATTTTGGGCATGTTGCAAGGAGGGACTGGTCCTTGAAGAGGGACATCATGCTTGGAAGGGTGGAGGAATGGAGAAAGACAGGGAGACCATTGATGAAATGGATTGATACAGTGACTGCAGGACTGAAGGTAGGTGTGTCAGACACAGTAAAGTTGGCACAGGATAGAGCAGGTTCCAGGGCTGTTGTACATAGGGTTGCTATGAGTCGCGGGCAACTCAACAACACATAACAAAAACAACCACAACCAGGACTACCAAAAGAATAAACAGGTTTGTCCTGGAGAGGCTGAAGCCAAGTTTCTCCTTGTAATTAAGGATTTTACAGCTCTGTCTGACATACTTTGGGCATGTTGCCAGGAGGGTCCAGCCCTTGGAGAAGGACATCAGGCTTGGAAGGGGTAGAGGGACACCACAGGAGAGGAAGACCCAAAAGGAGATGGATTAACATAAAAACTGGGAAATTGGGGTAGGAGTATTGGAGACAATGAAATTGGCTTAGCACAGGGCAAAATTCAGAACTGTGGCTCATAGGGTTGCTATGAGTTGCCAGTGACTCGAGGGCACATAACAACAACAGACGTGAGGCCCAGAAATCTGTGTTTAATGAGCTACGGAAGTTTCACAGTCGAGTTTGAAAACTTCTGCTTTCTGGTGTTCCCCTTTCTTTCAGGATCCTCACCTTATTTTACTTTGTTCTACCACTGCTCTGGTTAATAACTAACTGACTAATTCATGCCCCTTCTTCCTGCCACCCATTCCTACCGGGGCTCCTGGTGGAAGGAGATGGCAGCACGCAGAGTCTCTGTGAAGGCCTCGTAGTAGCCAGCGTCTGCATTCAGCAGGTCTCCAATCATCTGTACAGCACCTCTGCTCAAGTTCCCCACTTTTATCAGGTACTCCTGTGCAAGGAGAGAAGGCAAGCTGAGAAGAATCCTTGGATAAGGGAAAGGATAATGTGTGATCCATATTTGCAGCTCAGAAATAGTAAGGGACATAAGTGAACAATGTGGAACAGCAGAGTGGAGGTGCACACTCAGCCATAGGCCACTCAGGGTTTGCCAGGAGCCCAGGACTATGCTCAACATAATCTCTGCAGTGCAGATAAGGTGAATAGCGAAACACTTAATGCTGCTCTCTATCTTCAGACACTATTCTGAATTCATGTTCCATTTTACCTGTATAATTCTAAGAAGTATTTTATTACATCCATTTTACTATTAGATAACTAAGTCCCAGGCTTAATGAGCCTGAAAACATGGTGAGCCCCGCTGTTTCTCTGATCTGCTGTGCAAGAGCAGAAATTGGCATGAGCAGTAGAAAGCAGGTGTCTCAGGCAACTGACCTTAGTGGAGAAAGAGTCATACTTCTCTAGTACCCGGCTGCAGCTACTTGTCTTCAGTTCCTCTACCACCTGGATTTAGGAAAAGAGGGAAGGTAAATACTGTGATGAAAGAAATAAGCTTGCCCCAGTGTGTACCTGTCACCACTGGCCTCTTCAGTCCTTCCAGGCTCTACAGTGCCATTTACTTGCTTTGAATTATGTATGTATCAGCTTTCAAAGCTTTCTGGGTTGTAGGGTGGTGACGGTTTTGATGGTAGCAACTTCTCCACTAGTGGAGGTACACAGAGGTAGAGGCTAATGTTCTTTTATGAGACTGGGGAGTCTACGAACAGTGAAGTCTATCTCCTTGCTCCTGGGATGTGCATATTTTTATGTGCTTCACAAGACCACATGCATCTTTGTGTGACACAGTTAAGTGCTAGATTATTAGACAAAAGTTTGGCAGTTTAAGCCCACCTAAAAAGTGACTCAAAAGGCAGGCTTAACGATATGCTTCCAAGAGTTCACAGGCTTGCAAACCCAAACTCTTTAGAATATATTTCTACAGATTGCCTTCAAAAAAATTAGAAAAACATTATTTCTATTTTGTGGACTTGGGGCTGTCATTAAAATGATCTTGACCAGAACTAAGGTGATGCCGAATGGATGTAGCTGGGAAGTCTGGTCCCATTGTTGTTGTTACTGTTGTCGATTGCCTTCGAGTTGAGCATGACTTATAGTGACCCCCATGAACAAAAGGCCTGAAACCCCTCTACATTTATCAAAGTTCATAGAGTTATGAACCATATTATGAAATCATCAACATTTATCAAAGTTCATAGAGTTTCTGGAGGCATCTTATTTAGGAAGAGAATGCCACTCCTCCTTCCACTAAACTAGAGATAAATTTGAGGAAGCTGAGGTGACAGAGGTTTCATCTCTGGCTTCCTGTAATGACCGTGCAGAAGGGATGGTTGCGCAGTGGGGTCATCACACACCCCACTTTCACTCACCTTCCTCAGTGACTTATCAAATAGTTCTTCTGCTGACTTCCCCTTCTCATCTGCTTTGACTGTATAGCGCAGCAGCTGGGGGTTTGCCTGGATTTCTTCTGTCCGCTTCCTCACCCCGTTGACCAGCACCCAGGTCCGGCGGTCCAAGCGGCAGAACTCACGGAGCTTCAGTCCATACATTTTGATGAACTCCCGGGAAAGCCTGCAAGGGTAGCTGGAAGCTGTTGGGGCAGCACAGTCCTTCCCCTTCTCCCAGAACTCAACACCCATGCCTTGGGGAACAGAGAGTCAACAAGGACAATGACCCCTATCCCTTTAGGATTCACTGAAACCACCCTTCTTCCTCACTCTACAGACGGGGACTCAGCCAGATGGCATCTCCATTACATCATTCTGGGTTACTCCTCTGCACTGGACCCACTTGATCACCCATAGGACACTTTCCCTGAAATCTCTGGCCTCAGGTTGCAACCACTCTGAGGTGGAGGCTGGTATGAAGGGTTCCCAGAGAAAACTTCTTGGTTTTATCTTCCCCAGAGGTCATGTCTGTAGTCTGTGTTTCTAGACAAGGTCCTCTGAGACTCCCATTCAAGGTGTCCCTTAAAGGAAATCCACCAGCAGAGGCTTACTGCCAGCTCTGGGAACCCCCAAGTTTCTCACAATCACACCTGTGATTTGCAGACACCACACCTTTCTCTCAAAAAGATGCTTCGTTATTCCTGTCATTAGCAACTATCACAATGATCCCTTGAGAGCAGATCACTTTTGTCCCTCAAGGTGCTTTCTCACTCCAACTATCTTTTGTCATCCTCAAAATAGACTTCCAGGCAGGTGGAGTAGATAAAGTGGTGCCCATTATGCAGATTAAAAAAGGGAGATTGGGAGAGGCTCAGCGATAGGCTTGGAGACATATAATGAGAGCAGATCTGGAACCAGATGGCGGGTCTTCTACCCACAGACAGGCACCCCAATGTCTGTGAAAGGATTCTCTTTCTCTATACCACCACCACTCCCACTTCCTCACCCATTCCCGATGTCCCAGCTCTTACCTGTGGTTGGCAGGGATTCTCATGGCACCTAGTTCCACATACCATTGTGCCCCAGGCACTCTGTGTGTCTCAATTCTACCACCCACACGTCCTGAGGCCTCTAGGACAGTTACCTATAAAGATAGTAATTTAGGGAGTCAAAAAAGTTTGACCAAGCTCCCTCCGTACTCTTTCCTGCCTGCAGACCCAGCTCCCACAGTCCTTCCCATGGTCTGTTTCTGACTAGTTGTGAGATCATCCTAACCCTTTTACATCTGCCCAGATCCCTAATATCAGCTCCTATTCTCTCATTCAGTTCCCTTTTCTCACTCATCCCCTCATTCAAGTACCACCCAAGGCTGATTTTTTAAATATATTTTTAAATTAATAATTTTAATGAACAGAGATTTTGGATTTCCATTCATTCATTGCTGCACTTTTCTCCCTGCCCAGGCCTCCCCCCCCCACAGTTTGCTCCTCTCTTTGAAAAGTAAAAGAAACACTCCCTCCCTGGCACACAATACCCCCGCACCCCTCTCACCGCCCCAAGTACATTCCACTATGCAACCTTAATTGTGGATTCTTGTGATAACCATACTACTACCCTATCATACATCGCTTTTAAATTATTCTCTCCCTCATTTGTTTCAGTGCAGCATACACAATTTATCCAGTTTTTCTCAGTCTTACCCCAACCCTGATATCAGTCCCATTTTATAGCAGGGCCAACATGCAATATTTGTCCTTTTGTGACTGAGATATTTCACTCAGCATAATGTCTTCCAGGCGCACCCATTTTGAATAGTATTGCATGAGTTCCAAGGCTGATCTTCCTGATCATGAAACTCACCTGGTGGCCTGCATCCTGCAACATCTTGGCAGCAGTGAGCCCGGCCATGCCTGCACCGATCACCACCACTCGTTTCTTTTCCACCGTCTGCCCCAGCCCTTCTCTTGCCAGCCGCACCAGCTCTTCATACTGAGGATCCTCAAAGCACTTAACAAGCTCGTTGTTGAAGGCCTGAGTGCCTGGGCTCAGTAAGAACAGGAGCACGAGGGCCAACCAGCGTGGGCACATGGCTGTGGAGACGGCAGCCAGGCAAATGACTGGGGAATCAGAGAAACCCAGGTTGGTCTTAATTCTTACTCCAAGGAGATATTGTGTCACTTAACCTGTGATGCAATATCTTGAACTCCCTATCACCTTCCTCCTCTGCCAAGGGCACCTTAGTCATGAAGCCTGCCAGGTTTGGTCTCCCCTGCACATCAGTGGCATTTCCTCACAGCCCTCACTCAGGCAGTGACTAGAGGCTGGCTGGTAACCTGCCCCAGTGGGAAGCCTTCTGCCCAACAGAGGAGATATCACTTTAGATGTCTCTACCTCTCCCCTTTAAGGATGATAGACTAGATGGATGTCCCTCTGATTGTTTTAGAGTCTCCGGTGGTTCACACTATTTAGGATTTAACTACTAATCTAAAGCTTATTAGTAATTGGATTCTAATCAGAGTCACTTCGGAAGAAAGGCCTGTATTTAATTCTGAAGGAGCATGGCCATTGAAGACCATATGGAACACGGTTCTTCACACAAAGGGCAGCCATGAGTCATGGTTGATTTGATGCCAGTCAGAAGTTGCAGCGAGAAGGTCCTAACTGACCTGCAGCTATGGAAGACCATGAGTGGAGATGGAAAATATAAAAGACATAATTTGAGAATAACAACAGTGTCTGAGAAATGTATGACAGGCTACCTTCCCAGGCAGAGAGAGATATCCCACTCCTTCATTTTCACCACTCAGGTAATTAGAGCTTGACAGCCTCATTTACCAGAGATAACTGGAGCTCCTTAGAGAAGGAGGCTAATGATGAGCGGGAAGGTGAGCCTACATTTCCAGTGGCTGCTCTGTGCAAGCTTTCATCCATCACTCATGTTCATGTTCTATTCATCTCCCAGGGAAGGGCACACTATACCTCCTTGGTGCAATTTCTCAGTCTTTCTAAGAGAACTCTCTGAACATTATTTGTTTTTGTTATTTTATTTTCATTTTTAAAGCTCATACCTGTCACTGAATTCTCTCCAACTCTCTGTCGATGGTGTGAAAATTGAGAAGGGCTGGTCTGGTCCAGCTTACTTAAAAAATTGTGTTCACACAGGTAATATGTGAGTATATTCTATTTTTCCAAGTTCTCCTTTTTGTTTACAGTTAAGACAGAATAGTGCCACTACAGAATATGGAAAAACAGAATGACAAACCATTTATAACCCCTTTTGTATTATCCTTTTGTTCTTGACTATAACCACCAAGTCTTCCCTTCATTTTCACACCCCCTCCCACCCTCAGCCCGTTCAGCATCATTTACAGTTTACTCTGATCTCCTTGATCCTTGCATGGAGCAAGAAGAACAATTGCCAATCTCCTGCCTTCTTCATTTCAAACCAGAAATCAATCCTTTCACACAGAGCCTGCAGTGAGCACTCAACACACTATGTGGAAGGAAGGGTAGAGTGATAGACAGAAGGATAGACAAAAAAAATTGAAAGATGGGGGGATAAATTCATGGGTAGATGGATGCAAGAAGGGAGAGAAGAACAGAGAGAAGGATTTCTTGATAGATGTTCCAGGACTGCCTTTGATGCCCACATCTGTGCATTGTATGTTAATTTCAAGCTCAGGGCCAGTATCTGTCTAGCCTTCCACTCCACCTTTCCCCAGATGCCCTTTCTAATCACCCTCTTGAATGCTCCACTATCTATACGCGTTCTCTCTAAAAATATAGATTCTATATTATAATTCTATAATATAGAGCCTATGTGTCTGACTAATTCCTTTAACCCTGTGCACACACACAAATTGAATTGCATACTCCCAAAACATTCTGAAATTCTAACTATAACTTATTTGGAAATAAGGGGTTTCTTTTGCTAGTCTATAAGTAATCGCACCACTAACCCAAAGGCTCTGCCTCTCTGGTGGTTAAAATCTACCAGTACTTCCAAGGGAGAAAGAAAGATGGGCAATCTCCCATGTAATTTTACAGTCTCAGAAATACAGAGGGGATGGGGGGAAGGTTGTGTGTGTGTCAGCTATTAACCAGTGCTGAGCCCAGGACAATGAGTTGAGAGTTGAGTTTGATACGCTAATGAAATAATACCAGAGTTGGGCAGGACCTAAACCTTACCTCTGAGTTTGCAAAAAAAAAAAAAAAAAAAAAGAGCAGACTAGGCATAGTGTGCAAGACATAAGGGCAAAAGAAAACACATGAAGACAAATACACATAAAAGATTCATGTCATCCTCTAGGCCGACACCCTAGATTCAGACTGCTAGCCTCCTACACTATGAAAATAAATGCGCCAATCATCTTTAAGGTCACTCCATTGTGGTATTTCGGTTATAGTAGCATTAGGTAACAGACAAACACATACATCTCAGCACAGGCATATCAAAATACAGTCTTCTCCCTCTTTCTAAGGACTTCTCTCTCTTTTCTATTTAAGTAACAGAGTTCAGGATTATCTCATTCCCTCTTGCTTGAAGTGAAAAAGTAGAATCTGACCTATCCTTAAATCATAACTCTTGGTCCTTCTTATCTCTTGTGATGTTCAGATTTTAAGCAGACTGCCGTATTAAACACAAAGCCATATTGCTCATGAGCAACTCTAATATCTAGCTCAATCCTTAAAGAAAACAGACAGTGCATAGCTGAGACTTGCTGGAAACGTGTGGTCTTTGAACTATTTTCCATAATATGGGAAGAGATTTGCAATGAGCTTCTCACTCTTTCATCTGCTTTTCTGCCCTGATCCAGTAAAGCAGGGCTCTTCCTTTGCTGCAAAAGAGAAATCAGCATCTTGCAACTGACAACCAGAAACCATCTGGTGGATTTCAATTCAGCCAGATTATCTGTGTTACAGAGTAGAATTGCTCCATAGTGTTTTCTTGGGTTGGAATCTTTATAGAAACAGATTTTCAGACCTTTTTTTTTCTGCAACGCTATTGGGCGAGGAAAGCTTCCAACTTTTAGGGCAGTGCAGATTCTTTGCACCACCAAAGCACCACATGTTCTACAGAGAAAATACATCCAATGGGACTTTTGTACTTGGTGCTGAAAAAGTATTTACTATTTGTAAAGTGGTAACAGTACTAGACCACAGCACGAGTGACCCATTAGCCATTTTTTATTCATCTGAGCCAATTAATCCTGTCTCTGTAGTGAGGGGATTGTCGAGCTGTGCAGAGCCTGCTTTAAAGTTGGGGATTGGTGATGACTTAGTCTTAGGTACCCCAAGTCACAGTTCCATATGGATGTTTATTGGTGATTTGTTAAATAAATGAGTGAAGAACACATATGAAAACCACACATCTTAGATTTCTAACTTCAAGCAATTCTGCCCCTTTATTTCCTCCAAAGTGCACCTGTCAAATTTCTCATTTTGATTTGTAAAGCAAGGCCATTCTAGGACCAAAGGCAGAACAACAGAGGAGAAAAGGAGGCCCCCTGCATACTCACAGAAACTTGTCCTGGTTCTTGGGTCTTCAAGAGTGTTTGCTCCAACAAGTGAGTTCCTCTGGGACTCTGAGAACTGTCTAAGAGGTGCAGACAGTGTCAGGGGACTTATCTCCTTCTCTAACTTCCCACACCTTTAATTACACCCCAGGTCTCTGACTGGGAAAGGCCGGCATCCTGAGGAAAAGCACTTGAAGTCCAGTTCTGTCTTCCTCTTCCCCACCATCCAGATCTGCTCCTCTTCCTTTGCCCTAATTAGGTTGAGTGTGCCCTTGCTCATGCCTTCTCATTGACAAGAAATCATGGGCACATTTTGAGTTCTCTCTCCTGAGTCTCCATATTCAGATGCAGTTGTGTACCAAGGAGTCAGAATTGACTCATAGCTGACCCTCTGACAGGTTTTCAGAGGCAGTTAATCAGACGAGAGGAGATTGCCCATCCTTCTCCCAGAAAGCAGCTGATGGATTCAAACCACATGCCTTCGAGATTGCAGTGCAGCTTCTTGCCACTTGCCATGTTCAGAGTTTCCTGTTAATTCTGCCCCTTGGTGTCTCTCTGGAGACTAAGGTGTGTTTGATACAGGCCATGGTCTTTGCAATCACTTGTTATGCATCAGAGAGTTGGACAATGACCAAAGAGGGTAGAAGGAGAATTGATGCCTTTGAGCTGTGGTGCTGGAGAAGAGTATTGAGAATACCATGGACTGCTAGGAAAACAAACAGATTCGTCCTGGAAAGGGTTAAACTGGGTGGCTCCTTGGAGGCAAGGATTCTGAGGCTCCGTCTAACATACTTTGGACATGTTGTGAGGAGAGACTGGTCCTTGGAGAAGGACATCATGCTTGGGAGGGTGGAGGGATGGCGCAGGAGGGGAAGGCCCTCTCTGAGGTGGATTGATTCAGTGACTGGGATAATTGGGATGGGAATGTAAGAGACAGTGCAATTGGCACAGGACAGAGCAGAGTTTAGGGCTGTTGTACATAGGATCGCTATGAGTCGCAAGCGACTCGATGGCACATAACAACAACAACAACAACAACAACAACATTAGTCTGCTAATGTTGTTAGATGCTGTTGAGTTTACTCCAACTCATAACAGTCTCCTCCTGTGCAATTAACTGCCATTGAAAACCTGCTGGAGAGTCAATTATGGGTCAGTTTTGACTCAGTAGTACACGACAAGAACACAAAAACTTAGGTGCAATTCAAGTGCAAATAAAACCTTTCCTAAAGGGGAAAGATCTGGTTAGGAATTGAAAAGACAGGATGATGATGAGCGTAGTTAAACGGTGATTAATTTTATAAAACATAATGAATGGGAATGATTGTATGACACAATGTGAATGAAGAATAGTGTGAAAAACAAAGTATATGAACTTAGTAAGCAAACCACAATAAAATAAAAACTTTAAAAAAACAAAACAAACTCCTTCTTAATCCTGCACTCGAGTTTTCATGAACTTTTGTGGTGTTTAAGTCCATTGTTGTAAATACTGTGTCAGTTAATCTAATTGAGGGCTTTCCACCTTTTTTTGAAATGAATTCTTTTTTCCCCCAGCCTCATGTCCTTCTC